AAAAAAAAAAAATCACTGTCACAAAGAAGTGTATAATCTAGTTAACATATAAATATACAAAGCAAGTCAGAAAGCTCGAACAGACAACTGTGCATACTGCCAACAGAAAATTTCAGCACACCATACATACATACATCTTCAGTATCTTCAGTACTCATATGACAAAGTCACTGTAGCCAAATGAAAAAGAACAAATGTATAATTCATAAGGAGTAGCTTTTTAACACACCAGAGCTTTTGGCTGTCTAAAAATAGAGTTGTGAAACATAAAAAGCAGTATTATTGTCTCTAAGACTACAATCATATTTTATTTTCCTAATATTTTCCTCAGTATAACCTATGGTTTGGAGCTCATTCCTATCTTTTGTAGACCCTTTTTCTCCTGTTGATTTATGTATCTTTACTGGAAGGCTTTAGAAAGGAGTATGTTTACTAGTAACATTCCTTTGAGCTACAATTTTTTTTTTTTTTATTATGGCACATATTTGACACAGAAATTGTGTGTCACAAAATGATCACAAATGCAGGAAAACATATCGCCCACAGTCAAATATTTCTCCTATGATACACTCTGTATGTAGAAGACAAGGCAATGGTTGAAAATTAATGCAACATAAAGACTGTCCAGCCTGACCTTCAGCTGTCCTTTGGATACATTTTCAGACATCCATCACCTTTTATTTTTTTCTCCATTCAATGTAAACATCTGGCATACAAGTGAATTGCAGTGTAACTACAAGAAATAATTCAGTTTTAAAGCTTGTGCAAGAATCAGAGGACGTAAGTGCTAAATGACTGGACAAATCTGGACAACAGCAGCAAACACCAGAAAGGAAATAGATATGCACACTCTGGTAAAATAAAAATGCAGTACTTGCAAGATCAATTATAGATGATCTCACTTTTTTTTAACCTAGTTGGCAGGTAGCTTTGAAAAGGAAAATAGATGTCATCTAGCTGACAAGAAAGCACCTCTTGTAGAAGATTAGACACAAGTACCCCGTTAAAGTTAAATACTAGAGACTTACACATCTTCATGGTAATACACATACTCCAAACCTGCTGCAGCCCCATGGACACACAGTAGCTCAACCCCAGAACTGTCAGGCTATATTATTTTCAGTACAGTAATTATTTCAGTGACCTACTTTTTCTGTGACCAGCTTCCTACTCTAGGCAAGAATCAAAGCATAAAGCAGGAAAGTTTTATTAATATTATCAAAGATTCTGTCTCCGGTTTAGATTCTACATTTGAGTCAACAAGAAAGAAACTTGATGTGGACATACTTAGGGAAAGTCTATTGCACACCAAAACACAGAGGTTACAGAGTGAGTGGTTTCCCCCTTGAGAAATGTGTTTTTATGTTGATTATTCCTCTATTTTTTTCCAGGATGTGGAACAGTGCACATACTTTTGCCAGCTGAGGACCCACAACATAAGAAAAATTGTGTGATTTAACCCAGATCATTACTTTCATTTTAAATTATACCTCCAGTTGGAGAAGAAGGGCAAATAAAACTGGTCTCAGCATAAATGTCCTGCATTTATTAATATAGGTTTACACTTCACTATTACCCTAGTTTCTTCCTCACTTCAGGGAAAAAAAAATCCATTCTTGGTGCCATGTAAGAGGCAGCTTGTCTCCCAATTGCACAGGACCTCTTGAACTAAAAATATATTTGGGCAAAAGAAGGGATATGGTTGGGAAAGGCTCTATCCTTTTGCATCATGAAAGGGGTGAGATTCCATCCCAGCAGATCAGTTTCCTACCAGCAGCTGGTGATCACCATAGGAGCAGCTGGAATATGCAAACCTTCATCACTTTTCAGGTTGTGAAAACTAAGGACCAAACTTGTCCCTAAATAAATCTTTTGCCTATCTCACCAATAGAAGTATTCGTTCATTATTTATCTTCCTGTGTGGAAAGAAGCCTCCTTCCCAGCTGCCCGGAACCATTTCACCATCAAAACTGTCACTGCTTCTAAGCTTGCCAAGGGCTACTTCTCTGAGCTCTATTGTCACTGACTCATCAAATCTGAAATGATGTCTCTGACCTTTGAATCAGTTGTCTTATTTCTCTTTTGACACCAATGACAACTAGAGGAAAAATGTAGATGAAACACTCAGAAAATAACGGTGAAAGCAAGCTGACAATGCCAAATCCATCTAGAAAAGCATCAGTTCTTAAAGATGCTGAATGCTCTGTGTGAAATAAAGATGCTCTCAGCAGTTGCTGCTTCTTTGGAATTCAGTTGTTAAGCTCTAAATATTTTGACAAAAAAAAAAATCAAAAAGCAGAGGGATACCTGCAGCCTTCTCCAGTGACTTTCAGTGCACACAGACGTGTCAAAGACCTTGCATAAGAGCCAGTTTTACATAAGGCTCAAATCTCCTGTACACAGTGAGGCCAAGGAAGGAAATCTTATGGAACACTGGGGAACAGCCAGTCCTTTTCATCTGTCTCCCACCACCGTTGTATTCACTGCACCTACCTAATTGTAACTCTCAAAAATCAAACTGTGAGGATGCTTCCCTAGGCAAAATAATTTGATCTGTCCATGTCCAATATATTTCCCCTTTTGGATCAGTTAAAATGCAACAAAAAATATTCGAGTTTTATAGCACAGTTCAATATATAATTAACTTTGCACAAAGCCCAAATTTTTAAACTTGAATGTTGATAAATGCTAAGCTGGTAAATCCCTGTTTGGGATCATCCAGCCTGAAATGCTGTGCTGAACTTTAAACAGTCAAAATTCACCCAAGCCATTGATCTGTATGAGGGATCTCCTTTAGGAATTATGGTCCCTTTTATGAATCCCTTTGAGCTCTCCCAGGCAAATGGAAGACTTGACTTTTACACATTTAATGGCCAATATTAACCAGGAAGGCAGGCAGCTCTTATGTTTGCTCACAAATCACTTCTGAATAACTCTTCCTCCAGTGTCTGTCTCTCTGATCTTTGGTCTCCTTGCAGTGTTTCAAACATGAGGACATCAGCCCTCCTTTTTTTTTTTTTATGTTTTTCTTTGGGGTTTGTTTTTTTTTTTTTTTTTTTTTTATGTTTTTCTTTGGGTTTTTTTGGTTTGTTTTTTTTTTTTGTTGTTGTTTTCCTGTTTTCTGTGGCAGAGATTATCAGAACATGGTAGCAAACATTTTAATCCAAAATAAAATACAAAACTCCATGGACAGCACTACCCCAAACTGTCAATTGCAATGAAACACAAGTACCTAACAAATCTCAACAAGACAAAACCATTTTAACATACTGGTAAAAACTGAGTGCTGGAAAAAAATGGACTTTGGTCATATGAAATGCATAAAAGGAAAAAAGGAGACATGCCAAAGGAGGAAAGAATTACTCCTACTTCTGTGACTTCTTGAATAAATGACCTATTTCTAACTTGAAGCTGAATTCTCCCAAAGAACTACCATCATTACAGATTTTGTACATCAAAGTTCAAACTGGAGATTATTCTGATATTACTGGATATATTAGAGAGAGAAACTTCCTATAAAAGAGCAGACATAAGTATTGAGACATTGATAATTACTAAATGCCAAAAATTAATGTCTAAAACAGTATAATAGAAAGACAAACTGCAGGATGATGTTCAGAACATGTAATTCATGTAAAGGAACAGAAAGAGTTTAGTTCTGAATGAAGATTGGTGCTCCAAGCTAAATTGGGTACCAATGTATTCATACAATGTGGGGTAAAATCCTAAAAGATAATTACTCGCTCCAAACAGACATTTTTCTCACTCCCTTTTCTAACCAGTCTCAAATTTGTCTTTTGAAGTATCCTGTCTGTGCTTTATTTGGGATTTTAATTTCTGTTCTTTGAGTGAGGGTGGTTTGGTGAGGAGGTTTTACTCATCTCCTTATAGGTACTAAATTATATTTTACTTGATTTCTTGTTCTGCCCTTTTAGTGATGTAAATCTGTCTGTCTAGTTGTTTCTAACAGGAGCTTTAGAATAGGTTTTGATGGAAACAACAATCTAATTATAACTCACATTTTCAATGCAATAAACTATATAACAATTTTTACCTCATAAATACTAAGAAAAGAGTGAGAGTGAGTACAGTTTCCCATTCAGGTTAAAACAGCCTATAGTTAAGAAAATTTAAAAAAAAGATAATATTTATTTGATTTAATTATCTCCATTTAAAAGTTCTCAATACGCAAAACAATCATCCTGCACATGTATTTGCTCTAAATTTATTACTAATGACTTCAGGAAATGTCCATCAGGCTAACAACCACTGTGGAACTGTAACATCTCATGTTACTGAACAAAACAAAAAGCAGGCAGCACGTGTTCTGTACTCTGAGGGGATGGTACAGATATTTGTGACACATTATGGAATGGAGTTTACTCTTGCATGACTTTAGACTTTTAAAAAATATTTTTCAAAATGTTATAGCATATAATATTTGGTTTCCTAAGCACCATGAATTCTTCCTTGGCCCTGTTTCTGACTTACCTGACTTTAAGTACTGAGAGATCTCAGTTTGTCTGTCTAGTCACAAGAGACCCATGTCCAAAGAAACAACCACAGATAGCCATCTCAATAAAAAGAAAAGGTAAAGGTTTGGACATTACATTATACTCAATAATGTGTTTCCTCCAAGGTGAAACCGTGTTATTACATTTGAGATTTCCAAATCTGTTTTAAGGACATGTACACCACAACAAGGCATTCAAGGCTCTTGATTATTAACAATGTTATTCACTCAAGATAAAATTGGAACAAACATTTGTTGCCAGAGAGAGTTAGCACTGCATTACAGTTCTTAAGGTCAGTGGCGTTTTACTTTGCAGGTGTGAAAAGAAAAATTCCTATAGGAACACTCTGTTTGTTTAAAACATTCAGATAATTCAAATTTTAAAATTCCCTTTAAAGTTACTGAATTATGCAAAAGAAATAGCATCTACTTACCATGTCAGTTTGCTGGGATACGAATCACACATTTCAGATTCAAATATTTTTGGTAAAACAGGTTTCCAAATACGTAAATACATTCAGAGATTCTGTGGAGAAAATAGGCAACATCAGTGTTTGTGCGGGGTCTGTTGTTTAGGAGTGCTACAGAATACAGTGACAGTACTGTTGTGTTATTATATATTAGCCTTATGAAAACTTTGAAAACCTCTTTTTATTAAAAGGCTGGTAATTTTGGTATACATATTTTTTATTTCATATAGAGTCAATCTGTCTCTTTTAGGAACACCATGTCCTGGAAAAAAAGCCTTTTTTTCTTTTTTTCTTTTTCTTTTTTAAACAAGAGAACAAGAATTTTCTATTCAGCTACAATAATCACTTTCCAGCCAGCACATTCATCAAAGAATGAACAATTCACTAGGGTAACATATGCAGGAGTTTGCTTGTATATATTCATATTGTCTTCTGCCTGAAAAGAGTTAAATAGAGCATATAAATGATGAATACAGAGCGTCTTGGGATACAAAACAACTAAAATGGGTTAATTAGTGAAAAACATGCATCAGACTATAAGGCTCAACTGTAAATGTTACGGTTTTTTAAACCTATTATAGCTGCTGATAATATTTGGGATTATGGATAATATTTATAAAAATATGTTAATTTCCAAAAGGAGTTGAGTGGAAGATATTAAAGAGTAGGAAACATTCGTTGTTTGAATAAGAGTTCAGATGCATTCACATTAAACATACATTAGTGAATACATTTCTTTGACATGCTCATATAGAAGCATAATACGTAAGTGACCTAGAAAACACAGACGTTGTATAATCAATGACAAAAACATTGAGACAGATAAGCCCCGAGATCTTTGATCAAATATATTCTTTGGCAAACAAACAAAACATGTTATCCTGACAAATAACGCTGTGGGAGCGGCGGCGGTGCCAGCACCGCCCTCCGAGNCCCGAGGTGGGGGAGGGAAGCCCGGGCAGCCCATCAGGAGGGATCAGTGTCACCATCACCGCCACCGCAGTGTCACCATCGCCACCGCCCCGCACTGCAGCATCGCGGAGCGCGCCTGTGCCGCCGCCCTCCCTCCTCCGGCCTCACCTGCCCTTCCCTCCCGTCCCTTTCCCAAGGACAGATTCCTCCCTTCTCCCGGCCTCACCTGCCCTTCCCTCCCGTCCCTTTGCCAGGGACAGGTTCCTCCCTCTTGCCGGCCTCACCTGCCCTTCCTCCCGTCCCTTGCCCAGGGACAGGTTCCACCCTGCTGTCCTGCTGACCCCTGATGTGCTGCCCTAATGGTGCAAACAACACTTGACAAATTCAGGGATGGCCCTGGAGCATACTTTGGGTTTTGGTACTGCTGCTTACTACTGCTGTGACAGCCATGTGACCCTCTACTTGTGCAAATTTGTGGTGGAAAAGAGATCTAACATCTTCTGTTTTGGCTAAAAATATCCTATAAATGTGTACAAAATTATTCATGGTGTCAAGCTTAAGGCTTGGAAGAAAACAAAATCATAGACACTGAGATAAAAATGAAATGTCAGAAGTATATAGTAACATTCATAATTTTCTGGTCTCCGGAGTTGTGTCTTCCCCTCTTTATAGAAATACTTTCTAGTTAATTTATTGAATTAACTTAGCACTGTCCAAATACCACCTAGATTTCACTTCTAACACAACCAAATTACTGATAAGATACAATACAGGACTGAACATTTTTGAGTCAGATTTTTGAGTTGAACACTTTAAGTCTTTCAAAATGAAGTACATAAAGAAAATATTTTAGTTTTACATCATCATAACCCTATCACAAGTTAGGAGGCTTTGCAGGTCAGTTTCCCAATGTAAGATAAAGACATATTCAGCTTATTTTTGTACATTTTTTTCCTTTTGGCAATACAAAAAAGAAGACCTCCATAGTGTATCAAGTAAAAAATTGAGCTCTGGTACATGTTCAAAACAATCATCACTCAAAATTTCAGTTTAGGGGACATTCTACTGCATAAGCATGTCTGACAAAATGAAAAAAGGTAACATTATTTTAAAAAACAAAACAAGAAGTCATAATTTGAACTACTTGGTATAAACATAAGCCATTTGTGCTGAGGATTTGAAAGAGATACAATTGTGGTTTATTTTTATGAAATCAGCAGTGCAATAATGTCATTGACAGAGAACATGGAAACCTCTTCTGTTAGTTCCTATATTTAGACAAGCTGTAGCCTACCAGGGGGCTGCCACAAGTACCTTCTAAAATATCATTATCGTTTGTTCTGTTATCACTTTTTAAATTACAGAACTTCTGTCATTTTAAAAGTGCTACGAGTAACTGAACACATAGTAAAATTCTCCTCAGTTTATTACAAAGAAAATAAAGATAGATGAAGGTCATGGTTTCCTAATGCTATGTATAATTTTAAATTGTTCAGTAAAGCAAGAATCTGCAAGAATTTCTACCCATCTCCTTGAGTCCTTTTACATTCTTCTCCTGCTGTATAAAATATGCATAAAGTTTCTTTCTCCTAAGAGCAGCAGTAATTTTAGTGGTCCTTAGGGATCCCTGAGGCCAGTGGAAGGTGCAAAGTCCTTTTCCCCTTCCCACAGACTCTGGGGTACACCCTGTAGGGGTTCACATGCAGGTGAAAGCTGTATTGGCAATATAACACTCGATTTTGCATCCCAGGCTGAGCCCCCTGGTGCTTGGGGCCAAGAGGAGGAATAGAGCCTCTCCTGCTCCTGTGATATATAATTTTGTTATATAGATATATATTTATATAACCCCCACACACGAGTTCCCTGTCCTGGGGTGGGGGAAGCTGCAGCCCCCAGCCAGCCCTGCTGTTCACATCCCAGCAGCAGGGAAACAGCTGCCCTCCACTTCAGCTCCTTTTCCACCTAAAGCTCAAGCAAGACTCAAAGAAATTCTACTCCAGATTCTAGCAATATGGCAAATATGAGTCCAAACAAAAGGATGGTTCAGAAAAAAAAAAAAAACAACTGACTAGTTACTTTAAATGGCCACTGAAATAAAGAAGAAAGAGGCTAAAAAAAGATGTCAAAGCAATAGTAATTTACAGCTCCTGTGTGTTTAAAATTGCAATAAATCAGAGACAGATACTTTGACAGAAGAAACCAGAACTACTGTAACATGGGTAAAATTTCCCCATCCATGTGACTGTTAACTTGTGTTCACTCATTTTGTTGAATATTACTCATTCTACACAAGCTCACAATTTAAATTTATGTCATATCACCAAACAAACCAACAAAACAAACCAACAAAACTCACAATCAAATTAGGGAAAAAAGAAACAACGCAAAACCTAAACCACCAGATCAGGCAATCCCCATCTGAGAGGAGCTTCACCTTTTTTGACCTGGTAAAATAGAAATAGTGAGAATGAACTGAACTTGGAAAGCAAGAGAATTGACTTTATTTCTAATCTGTAACTGCGCCAGGGCCAAGAAAGGCAGAGGCAAAATATTCAGGGTTATAGATGACAAGTGACTGTGAAAAGGAATCTTTGGCATCTGAAAAGATGGAAATAGCGAAGGAAAAAAGGAAGCTGAGGTTGGGGAAGAACTTTGAGTAAGATAGGGCCTTTTCTTCAACACTAAAGTAAATGTTCTTTTGGAAAATGAGAAACAAGTATGTTCACTTGTCCTCTCAATGGCACAAAACATCATTTTATGTAATTTATTGATATCTGATAGATTCCTATCTGAATTCCACGAGGTGGGCTCTGAATGCTGGAGGATGATCTATTCACCTCCAGAAAGTTTTAGTGAAATAGGGCAGACAGAGAAGACAGAGAAATGAAATCACTGACAGATGTGACAAAACTCATCCCTGGTAAAACACAAACTGAAGCCCACAACCTAGATTATGTTACTGGCTGCTGCAAAGCCATCCTTTCAAAGACAATTATGCCACCAGTTAAACACACCATTATGAGAAATAGATCAGCAGCTTTGTAGGTTACTTGCCTCTCTCTTTGTTTTTTAGTACACCACACATCTCCTTAGCCTGCAGGAGAGGTTGGGGAGGGGGCTGTGGCTGGCAGGATGAGGTACTGGTGAACAGCTGAGTGCACATCTTCATAGCAGGACAAGGATGTGCAGCTTTGGCAACACAATCTCAGGCATAAAACACCAAGTGGGAAATGTATGCTTTCCTGCAGGCATAAGCAGGCTGTATTCTTTTTCATGAAATTGGGAGTTAAGATGGTTGCCTAAAATACTTTACAACATGATCTGATCAACAGGTTTAGCCCAACCCTGACAACGAACTCAGTGGTGTCTCTTATATCTCTGTAAGGCTCAAGGTCAGCCAGGAAGCTAATTGAAGAACACTTTAGTCCTATCAGCCCTTAAAAATTATAGGAAAAATTAAAAAAACATGATTCCTACCTTCCTAAACCCTTAATTTAAAAAACCCCAAAAAGTCCAGGCAGAAGGAATGCACTAAATCTATCTGAAAATACAGATTAAAAAAAAAAAATCACTGTCACAAAGAAGTGTATAATCTAGTTAACATATAAATATACAAAGCAAGTCAGAAAGCTCGAACAGACAACTGTGCATACTGCCAACAGAAAATTTCAGCACACCATACATACATACATCTTCAGTATCTTCAGTACTCATATGACAAAGTCACTGTAGCCAAATGAAAAAGAACAAATGTATAATTCATAAGGAGTAGCTTTTTAACACACCAGAGCTTTTGGCTGTCTAAAAATAGAGTTGTGAAACATAAAAAGCAGTATTATTGTCTCTAAGACTACAATCATATTTTATTTTCCTAATATTTTCCTCAGTATAACCTATGGTTTGGAGCTCATTCCTATCTTTTGTAGACCCTTTTTCTCCTGTTGATTTATGTATCTTTACTGGAAGGCTTTAGAAAGGAGTATGTTTACTAGTAACATTCCTTTGAGCTACAATTTTTTTTTTTTTTATTATGGCACATATTTGACACAGAAATTGTGTGTCACAAAATGATCACAAATGCAGGAAAACATATCGCCCACAGTCAAATATTTCTCCTATGATACACTCTGTATGTAGAAGACAAGGCAATGGTTGAAAATTAATGCAACATAAAGACTGTCCAGCCTGACCTTCAGCTGTCCTTTGGATACATTTTCAGACATCCATCACCTTTTATTTTTTTCTCCATTCAA